GGGGCCGCGGGGGGGAGCCAGTGCTGGGTCGGTGCTCGCACATCTCTCCCCCGGCACGGTGGCCCTGTGAGCGGGGCTGCAGGGACGCCCTCCGCTCCGGCAGGAGTCACCCCTGCACGCAGGTGGGTACCATCCCCCTGGTCCAGGGATGCCGTGCAGTCAGAGCCTCTGCCACCTGGAGCGACCCCGAGCACATCTCAGAGCAGAAAAGATGGATCCCCTGGAGTTTTAGCCATTACAACAGACGCCTCCCCATCTTTCTGTCCCAAAACAACACTGTGCTTACCTGGAGGCTCTCAGCAGACAAGCTGGGGTGAATATTTGGTCTCGTCTTTCCTGCACATGGGGAGGACGGGGTAGGAAATGCCTCTTCCCCCATCCAGCCGAGCATCCAGAAGAGATTTGGCCACATGTTAGAGCTTCTGGGAATTTGCACTCATTTCAGGATTCAGTAAAACCTTAATCTACAGCATAATCTCCCAGCATCACATCTGTGCAAGAGAGAGAAAAAATGCCGGGGGAGGCTGCTTTGCTGGGAAAGCAAAGGCTGCTGTGGGGTGCTGGCTGCTTTTGGCCCACTGGCTTGCTCGGGGGCTTGGAGATGTTTAAAGAGATCCACTGAAACGCAAGGGGCATGGGGGCTCTCTCCCCCCGTTCCTGCCGCCGTCTCCCGGCTGTGGGAAGCAAGGACCTTGCCGTCAGCGTAAGACACCCCCTTGATGTGCTCCATGCAGGGAAGGAGAAGCTCAATTGCTCTCGGCCTCCAGGGGGCTGTGGGAGGGGGCTGGACCAGCGCCCCGAGCCAGGAGACCATCCTGTGCATTTGCATCCTGAATGCCCACGCGGATGGGTGGGCACGGGAGCCTTTCCCACGCGGGGACACTAAGGCCCTTCTCCTCCCCCCAAACACCCATTCACATCCAACACAGGGCAACTTGTTACCACTGAAGTTCAAATAACGCCAGCAGGGGATGGACAGACAGACGGGGCGGGCATAGACAAGCGCATCACAAGGTCAGGGCCAAGGAACCGAATGCCCCAAACCCCTTGGGCTGGATGGGGGCAGAACCAGCCCAGTTTTCCAGTTCCTCCCCTTGTTGAGGAACCGGGGTTAGGGTAAGTCAGAGCCTGCCATGTGCTGAATCTCCTGCGGGCAAGGAAGCTGCTGCTACCTGAAAACCAGCATCCCAGAGCCAGCATCCCAAAACCAGCACGTCCTGGTGCCCAGACTCCCTGGACCTGCATGGGGAGGCGCAGGGCACGGGGCAGCACCGGCTGCTGAGTTACCCTGGCCCCACGAGGAGCAAATATTTCCAAATCCCTCCCGGAGAGGTTAAGAAATCCCTTCTCGGGTGGGAGGGAAGGACCAGTTCCTCCAGCAGCTCCTCGCCCAGGAAGGACCGATGCCGCCCTCACGGCCGACGCGGAGCAGATTGGACCTGGGGTGCACATCCTCACCACCAGCAAAGCACCTCCCAAAAAAACCCAAGCACCACAAAGAAGCTACCGAGGTCCCAAGCAGGGCAGGCCCCCCCGTGCCGCCGCTCTCCCCCACTACGAGAGCTGAATCCCCCAACAAACCGATGGCAAGGTTTCCTTTGCCGTCGGTAAGCGATGTCTCACATCCTCTCCGACCATAATGGGCTAAAAAACACAGTTCCCCTGTGGATTCAGCCCGTTTCCTTCTATTCTTTAACAGGAAGCTCTGCGAGAGTCAGCCCAGGCAGGCAAATCGCTCCTCGCCCTCTCGTCCCTCCCGGGATGGACAGAGCCGTAGCGGGGCTGCCGAGCCACAAGCCACCGAGAAGATGCTGGCTTCGCCCGTCCATCCGCTCCTCTGGCTGCTGGGCTGCACGCTCGTCCGAGGTGAGATGCTCTGCTGACACCCCCGGGGCTTCGCCCGTCCATCCGCTCCTCTGGCTGCTGGGCTGCACGCTCGTCCGAGGTGAGACGCTCTGCTCACACCCCCGGGAGGGTGAAGCGGTGCTGGGTGGGGGGATTTGGGGAGCCTGGCTTCACAGGGGGCACCAAAGGGAACCGGCCAGACGTTCAACCGTGTAGTAGCTGCCGTGGGAAAGCTCAGCCTTTAAATTCAGAGGTGGCAGGAGTCAGGTTGCTGAGAAAAATGCAGCCATCCTAGGTTGATGGGGTTTATTTGACAGCGCTAGGATAAAAGACCTTGTTTCCTGGTTAACACAAGGAGTGTTTCTGCTGAGGGTTAGGATGCCGAGGCGCTTTGTGGTAAATACGCCAAAGAAGCATAAAGGTAGAACGTTTATATGTGCAGGACATTATTTTCCTCAAAGGTATTTTTTCCTTGGCTGATTTTGATTTTCCCTCTCGTCGATACAAATGCAAGGACAGGCGCGAGACTGGTGCGGAGCGCGCCTCGTCCCTAGTGCGATCGCTCTGCTCCTTCGTGATAATTCTGCTCTAACTCCTCTTTCCCACGTGAGTCGCGGTGTGGGACGAAGGAACCGGTTTCCTGCTCCGACGGGTGACAGGTTGTTTTTTCCTGCGTCGCCAGGCACCTCTTGCGCCGCCGACAGCGGTAGGGGCT